TCGTCGTCCTCTCCCAGTGTTGCCCTTCCCCGTCGCCTGCTGCCTTCGCTGGTCACCGTCGCTGCAGGTAGGGTTAAATTTTAGTTTTTTTTTCAATTCTAATTATTATAATTGATTGTTTGTTAGTATATTGTTGTTTTTGTTTGTTGGGTTGTAAAAGGACTTCTTTTACTACCTTTAGTGCCATCTTCGATGTCCTTTTGTTGCTTGATGTTATTGAGCACATCTTTTACTATACTTATCAAAGGTGTTGACCCAATGCCAAGGCCTAAGAAATCAAAACAGAGAAATAACCTTGAAATTGCAACAGTTGGAGAAGATTGAGGATGAAGAGTTGTGAAAGTAATGGTGTTATTCAATTGTTACTTTGATTTGATTATTGTTAGTTAGGTATAGATAATTGATTGAAGATTTTTATTTTAGGGTTTTTTAAAAAAAATGGGCATTTTTATATTGGGCATTGTTAGTTAGTGAAGAATTAGCATTTTTGTATTTTAGGACTAGTTTAAACTTGAGAATATGTAATTTGAGGTTGAATTGGGATTTTTGGTATTTGATTTTTGGACTAGTTAGTAAAGTGTTAATAATTTGAAGTTAGAAATTAGTAATTGAAGTGTTATGAGTAGATGATGAATGTTTGAATGTCATGAATTTAGATGACGAATGTTTGAATGCTTAGAATTTGAACGTGAACTTAGAACTAGAACTTGAAATTAGAACTTGAACTTAAATTTAGAACTTGAAGTTGAACTTAGAATTTGAACGTGAACTTAGAACTAGAACTTGAAATTAGAACTTGAACTTAAATTTAGAACTTGAAGTTGAACTTAGAATTTGAACGTGAACTTAGAACTAGAACTTGAAATTAGAACTTGAACTTAAATTTAGAACTTGAAGTTGAACTTAGAATTTGAACGTGAACTTAGAACTAGAACTTGAAATTAGAACTTGAACTTAAATTTAGAACTTGAAGTTGAACTTAGAATTTGAACGTGAACTTAGAACTAGAACTTGAAATTAGAACTTGAACTTAAACTTAGAACATGAACTTAGAATTTGAAGTTGAACTTAGACTTGAACTTGAAATTAGAACTTGAACTTAGAACTTGAACTTGAACTTAGAATTTGAATTTGAACTTGAAATTAGAACCTGAACTTAAACTTGAACTTAGAACTTGAACTT